CCACAAATATCAGAAGGAAAAAACACTTAGCTTTCTGAGCAGATCAATTTAACTTATTCCAGCTGTTCCTCACTAAATTCGTGAGTTTTGCTTTATGGTGCCTGTTTCATGGGTAAAAAGATCTCTGTGTCTGTCTATGTTTTTAGTAATAGAAGGTATAAGGTATGGCAATACATTAAGGAATTAAAAGAATGAAGTTTGTCCCAAAATAAGGCTGGTTATTTCTGAATAAGGAAGAAACAAACTAAGAGGAACTAAGAAAGTTTAAAAGGTCTGTAAAGAAAAATCTTAGATTTTATATATGGTTAAGCTGAATAAGATGAAAACCTAAGTAAATAAATTTAAATACCAAAAGCTAATGCAGAATGAGTTTGGTTCTTTTTCTGTTTTTTAAAACAAGGTTTTTTGTATTTATCCTACCCTAAATAAGATATCATAGGTTTTCCACCTAGAGAGCAGAGATCCTATTTTTTATTAAAGTCATCTTCTGGGCCCTGGCGGGTGTGACTCAGCTGGTACAGTGTCATTCCATGCACCGAAAGGTCTCTGATTTGGTTCCTATCAGGGCACGTGCCCAGGTTGTGGATTTGGTCCCCAGTTGGGGTGCGTATGGTCCCTGGTCGGGTGGGGGGGTGCGTACGCACCAGAGGCTACCCATCTATGTTTCTCTCTCATGGGTGCTTCTCTCTCTCTACCCCCCTCTCTCTTCCTCTCTCTCTAAAACCAATAAAAACATACTTTTAAAAAAATAATCTTTTAATCAGGTCCTTCATTACTTAAGAAAACAATTTTCTGAATCGTAAAAACTAAAGTTTTGCTAACCTGCATTTTATGTTACAGAAAATCAAAGTTGTCAATTACATTATAACCAGACCTACAACCATGTCACTAAGTTTTGTCATCTACAGATTGTTTTACTCTGATGCTTTTGCAAGAATGTTTCATCTTCAGAAAGATCCATGAAAAGGATTCTTACTAAAAAACAGAGTTTTCAGAGAATAAACTCTTAGCTCATACCTTTAAACTAGATGAAAATTTATAAAGCTCTAAGGAATAACTGGATTATGACCTGCTGGCAAAGGATCAAGATAGATGAGAATTAGTTATATGGGACTAAATGAACTGAGGAGGATTATAATTTTTATAACTTTTTGTTGGAAATATTGCTAACTTTTAACCTTTTTGTTTTCCAGATATAAGGAAACTTGTTTTCTTTTAAACTATCTATGACAGAGCAATTTGGTAAATTATACATTTGTAAGCAATATTGAAATATGTATATTTTTCTTCCTACCTGATCCCTCTAAAAGTTTGGAGATTCTGAGTATTATTATTTTCATGGCAATATGGTTGTTTCCATAAATTCTATAGGAATATGTTCTTTTTATAACAGGACACAATTGGAAATCAGTTTATTACCAAGACTTTGACTGAATGTCATGTTTGAGAGAGACATGCACAGACTTTGAATGTCACTAGAAAGCTTTAAGGATTTAAGATGGACTTTGGAAACCGATAAAAGCTCCTCAGAGAAACAACCTGGTACCTTACTTACATGGTTCACAGCAGTCTTTCCAGGTAAGGAATGAATGTTGCTTTCCTGAGAGATGGCAAAGGAAGAAGACATTTGGGGGATCTCAAGAACCTGAGAAACTTGCCCAAATCAATACATATTGTAGGCAAATGCTGATGGCAACTATATGGCTTGGCTTCTTAGCCATGTGTGGGTAAAATTCAATCTGAATATTCCTTATGAAATTCCAGCAAAGCAGATTAAAAAGAGCCTATTTGATGAATTACTATTCTTGTTGTACTTATGCAAGTAAGAGGCCAAATTTATTGAAACTGGACTTACACAATAAATTAGTCTTAATTTGGCTATCTTTTGATAAAATAAGGGTATTTTAGGGAGAGAAATTGTTTCAATAGAAACCATACTATTCAATTGTGGATATTAGATTCTAGTCCAGTTGTCTTTAAAATCTTATTTTTCATCTGTGGGCTAGACTGGATCCTGAATATTTCTTTTTTTTAAATATATTTTTATTGATTTCTGAGAGAGGGAGAGGGAGAGAGAAACATCAATGTTGAGTCACTGATTGGCTGCCTCCTGCACACCCCCTGCTGGGGATCGAGTCTGCAGCCCAGGCATGTAACCTGACCAGGAATCGAACCTCAACCTCCTGGATCATAGGTCGATGCTTAACTGCTGAGCCACGCCGGTTGGGCAACCCTGAATACTTCTAAGTATTTAGCTACAGCCCTCTGAACTACTGTTTCCTTTTTATCCCACTCTTTGCCTTGGAATTATTGAGAACTAAAATTGGTTTGCTTGTTTTCTTTCCTGAGCCTTGCACTTACAGACCCCAGCTAATGACATAATGTAAGCTTTAGAAAAGTCATTACAACAGTTCATGCTTAGGTGGCACTGGTGACTGATGCTGTGTAAGCCACACCAAGAGTTCGTTGGTGTCAGGACATATTCATTAGGGACATCAGACCAATATGTGGATTGTCATTGCTTGCCGTCATTCCAGCAAAATTTCCTAAACTGGTCAAGGAAAAGGTCACGCAAGTTCAGGAGGCACAGAGAGTCCCAAGCAAGAACAATCCAAAGAGGCCCACGCCCAGACACATCATAATTAAAATGCCAAAAATTCAAAACAAAGAGAATCTTAAAGGCAGCAAGTGAAAAGCAAGCTGTTACCTACAAAGGAGCTCCCATAAGGCTGTCAGCTGATTTCTCATCATAAACTCTACTGCACTCTAAGTACTAATACCTGTACTCTAAGTACTAATCAGAGCAAACTACAGATAGCCTGTGAGTCTTTAAGAATGTCAGCAACTTTCAACCTCTTTCTTCTCATGGCACATGTAAACTAATTGCTAAAATTCTGCAGTGCACCCAAAACTACACTTTTTTACTGATATGACATAAAAAATAGGTATAATTTTGATTCACTCCCATGACGTCAGACAGCTATTGTGTTGGCTGTCATCAGTTTTTTATTTGACAATCTAATGGGAAAGAAAGAGGTCAGTGCACCTGACTAAATAGTTAGGTACTGCATGTTCTGAAAACCCTTGGGGCACACCTGTTAAAAACCTCTGCTCTAGATGAAAGGATGTAACAATATTTGCATCATAGGAATGCCAGAAGAGGCTGAAAGTAAGCAAGAATTAGAGAATCTGTTTGAAGAAATAATGGCAGAAAACTTCCCTAACCTGGTCAAGGAAAAAGTCACAGAAGTTCAGGAGGCACAGAGAGTCCCAAGCAAGAACAATCCAAAGAGGCTCATGCCCAAACACATCATAATTAAAATACCAAAAATTCAAAACAAAGAGAATCTTAAAAGTAGCAAAATGTTACCTACAAAGGAGCTCCCATAAGGCTGTCAGCTGATTTATCATCATAAACTCTACTGGCTAGAAGGGAATGGCATAAAGTATTCAAGGTAATGCAAAACAAGGATCTGAACCCGAGACTACTCTATCCAGCAAGGCTATCACTCAAAATAGTGAAAGAAAGAGATTCCCAGACAAAAAAAGCCTAAAAGAGTTTATCGCCACCGAACTAGCATTGCAGGAAATGTTAAAGGGACTGCTATAATAAGAAGTTGAAATAGCCCGGCCGGCCCTGGCTCAGCGGTTGAGCATCGACCTAGAATCCAGGCAATCGGGGTTTGATTCCCAGTCAGTACACATGCCCGGGTTGTGGGCTCGATCCCCAGCTGGGGTTGTGCAGGAGGCAGCCGATCAATGATTCTCTCATCATTGATGTCTCTCTCTCTCTCCCTCTCCTTTCCCCTCTCCGAAATCAATAAAGATATATTTAAAAAAAAAGTTGAAATAGAAAGAGAAACATAGGAATAAAGAATCAAAATGGCAATAAATAAGGACCTATCAATAATAACCTTAAGGACTTAAAGGGAGAGATCAACAGCAATACAGTCATACTAGGGGACTTTAACACCCCACTGACTTTAATGGATAGGTCTTCCAGACAAAAAGTCAACACAGAAACAGTGACTAAATGGCGAACTAGATCAGATGGATTTAGCTGATATTTACAGAACATTTCACCCAAAGCTGCAGAATATACATTCCTCTCAAGTGCACATGGGTCATGCTCAAAGATAGACCACATGTTAGGACACAAAACCTGTCTCTACAAGTTCAAGAAGATTGAAATCGTATCAAGCATCTCACATCACAAGGTCATGAAATTAGAAATCAACTACGTAAAAAACACTCAAAAACATTCCGACACATGGGGGCTAAATAATATGTTACTAAACAATGAATAGGTTACCAATAAGAAAAAAATCAAAAACTTCCTGGAAACAAATGAAAATGAACACACAACCACCCAAAATCTATGGGACACAGCGAAAGCCGTCCTAAAAGGGAAGTTCATAGCACTGCAGGCCTACCTCAAAGAGCAAGAAAAATCTTTAGTAAACTAACCCTCCAACTTAGAGAATTAGAAAGCTCTCCAGTGAAGCCAACGGGACCAGGGCTTTTGTTTACTGGCAGTTTTTTTTTATTACTGCTTCAATTTCATCAGTTATTATTAGCCTGTTCAGGTTTTCTGATTCAGTTTTAGATGATCTCACTCATATGTTTAATCTAATAAACAAAACAGACTGAGGAACAAAAAAGATCCAGAGACATAGAGACATGGAACAGACTGATGAATCTCAGTGGGAAGGCGGGGAGTGGGTCGGGAGAAATTAATGGGAAAACTCATCTGCATATGTGCATAACCCATGGACACAGACAATAGCGTGGTGAAGGCCTGGGGGACAGGGGGACAGACGTGGGGTGGAGGGGATCAATGAGGGAAAGAGGAGGATATCTGTAATACTTTCAACAATAAAGATAAATTTAAAAAAAGAGAAAAAGTTAAATCAGGGGCTTGCTACATGCTGCCTGACACGCAACTCAGCTGTCCAGAGATGCAAGCCAACCACAAACAGCCTCCAGGCCGTAAAATATACCTTGTGTAGGTTAAAGTTAATCCCACTTTTCTCCACTCTCCACTTCCCCATATCAGCAATTTTCCATGTAAGCTACAGATATAAGCTCGACCTCCGGCGACGGTGGGGTCTGTCCTCCTTGTCCTGCCTATGGAGGGGTTTCCGTGCTTATCGTCCCTGCTCAGGGAAGCTGCTTTCTACGTTAACTTTGGCTCATGTCTTGAGTTCTTTCCTGCAGGGAAGCCAAGAGCCCTCTTGGCTCCGGCCGGAGTCCCCAGCGGGGACTCGCGCCTCGGGCTCGGGCCCTCGGAGCACCTAGAGGACGCTGGAAGGACGTTGCACTTGGAAGCCGAGGCGCCGCAACTTGTTTACGCCTGAAAC